TGGAAAAAGTAAACAACCTACATTTCCAATTCCTGTTTACAATTTGGATAATTTATAAAAAAAAAAAAAAACACTCGATACCCGAGGGGTTTTCATTGAATTTCTAAACTCTCGTGGTGAAAAAAGTTTCATGAATTGCAAAACACCGCGCAGCGGAGTTTCAACGATTCGCAATGAAACATTTTATATTATTCCATTCGTTTCCTGGTAGGTAATATCAAACGTTTCTGTACTCGCTGTACAATCCGGTTTTCCGAATCCACATATGATACTATTAAAAAATAAACGTTCTCTCCCGCAGAATTCCACTCACTCACACACACGTGAGTGTACATGCGGTTGAAAAATACAGTTTTATCGTTAGAAACAGCTGCGAAGAATTTCTTTTTCTTCTCTTTGAAGAAATATCTTTAGGTTCGTTTGAATGGTAAACGAAGGAAATGCATAGAATGGGGGAGAAGTACAAAACGGGGTCGGAGTTTAGTTGCATTTCGTTTACTAAATCAATGGCACATAAAAATTACGCCGTCGGCGGCGTAGCGCTATGGAAATCGCCAGACATGGCCGGAGCACGGCCAAGAAAAAAACCATCGAAGAGGTGATTTCTATTCGGCCGAGTCTCGTTAGCCGCGCAAGTAAATGCGAGCAATTCTTTTTTCTTTTTCTACCGTCCCAACATTTGATAGAAAATAATTTTCATGGCCCGTTTAGGATTATTCCAATAACCATTCTTCCGGGAAAAATATTTCCGCGACCGGAGAAAAGGTCGTTAAATTTGTCCGTCTGTAAATTGTGAAACACGAAAAATATGGTGAATCGTTGAGAGACAATTCTTTTGGAAGTTTCACATGGCGTTGGAATTCTTTTATTAAACTGATTTTTCGATTTAGGGGAAATGTGATCGACTGAGAAATTCGCCAATTCTGCGAAGCTTGTTCTTTTTGCAAAATTATTTTTGTAATTCGGTTGTTTGATTTTTGGAAGAAGGGGTTGAAATATCGTCGACCTCTAGATCCTTGAAAAAGTAGCTTTAAGGAGCCTTTACAAAACTGACTAAAAGATTTAACTAAAGTTTTCCTTGAAAATTGCAAAATTTAACTAAAATCTTCCTCGAAAATTATGAAATTTAATACAATTCCACTTGACGAAGAATTTTCAATAAAAGCAGAGTACTTTTCAAAAGCAGAGAAAAGAAATTAAAATATCATCGTCCTCCAAATTCCCCCCCAAAAAAAAAACATTTTTTAGAAATCTCACATTGGAATTCCGTTCCAAAATAAATTAAAAAAAGAAAAACCCAAATTCTACGCAACCCCACTTAACCAAATCCTGGATCAAAAACAAACTAAAGCCTCCCCAAAATTACCTCTCTCCAACCCCAAAGAATCCCCTCGAAACAAAGAGCCAATCGAGAGGGTAAACATAATCGCGTGAACAACGATACTAACCAATCCGAGCCTCCTTAAACCACGCACAGAAGGGTGCGTGAATAGGGATGATCGTTCCGCGGACGATTTAACGCAAGAAACGACCGGTTCTCCATTGGAGACGACCGTGTGGGGGCTTGGTTGGGTGGGGAATGATTTTGGTCCGGTCGACGCGGTTATTCGCGATTCATCCCGGCTATCCGAATCCGCCGTGGCTGAAGAGGGCGAAATACCCGCGCGGAATACCGGAGGAAATAATTTTCAACGAACACGGACGGGCCCTGGCGAGCGAACAAAGATGAAAAGCCCGGCCACGAATATGACTGACATCGAGCTATATCCTGGCGATCTACATGAGCACATGGAGAAGTGGCAAAAAAAGGATAGAGCGAGGGTGGAGAAAGAGACGAAGCGGAGCGGACTGCACGCCGCGGCGGCGGCGGACCGATGGAAGAATAGAGGATGAAGTTGGACGAGGATAGGGCGTCACGGATTCGAAGGAAATAGAAAAAGAGCGAGTGAGAGAGAGAGAGAGAGAGAGAAGAAGGTGCTTTAGAGAGTGGAGTCCAATTTTTAATGAAAGCGTGGAAAGAACCATAAGTGCATATAGTGGCCGCATTTGTCCGCTCCTGAAGGGCTCTTCATGCAGAAGAGTCCTGCAGGACTATCGTGGTCGTGGTGAGCCTCGATCCGGTTATACCCCGAAGCTATATATCGAAGAGAGAGAGAAAAAATAGAGGAAGAGGGGAGGGAAAAAAAGATTCCAATAATTGCTGGTCGAAAAATATCGACAGTAAACTCTCTCGACCCTTTAATTGCACACCGAGGCACAAGGCATATTGGTTTTCCAGTCGTGTTCTCTCTTCTTCGTGCTCTTTTCACCCGCCGCTTCACCTCTTTACTCGCTGTCTCTCTTTCGTTCGTTCACGGTCTTTCACCTTTCTCCACAAGAGTGATCTCCTTTTTTTTTCTCCATCGGGGGGAAAAAAGTAGTATCACCGAGTTTCCTCCGCGATCATTCATACGTCCGATCCCTCGATCCTCTCTTTCGAGAACTATCTTCTGTTCTTTTTCAGCTGTTTTTTCCTGCTTTTCTCTTCTCGGGGAGGATTTCTTGCCGTTCCAACTGAAGCAACTGTGTTTGTTTCTTCTTTTTTCATTTCTCGTGAAGGAATTGATACGAGGCTTCGTTGGGATTTAATAATTCTGCGGGGTTTGATTAGTGAAAAAATTGATTTCTTTGTTTTAACGTTTTTACTGAAATACCGTGGAAAAATTTGAAGAAAGCGGTTTTTCACTATTGGCTCGGGGTAAAGAAAATTCATCGATGGCTAGAATAACTTAGTTCATCGGAAAACTCGTTTGAGTAAATAAAAGATTCTGCTTCACCAGTCAGATTAATTGATTCTTCTTCTCCGTGCAGTTTTCAGAAGTGAAACCTCGTTAGCTCTACCTCCATTTTCCGTATTACTCCGTCTTTTTTGCCGTCATCGTATCCGAATTGCAAAGTGAGTATTCTCCATCGTTAATTTTAAGAAGAAGAAAAATTATCTGATACAGATTTGCTTTCTTAAATTGTCTTCGTTGATTCGAACATTTGCGATGTTAAATTATTTTGCAAATCGATCGTCGATGAATCGAATTGCAAAAATATGGAAGTATACGATAAATCGAAATGCAAAACTGTCGAAATGTACGATAAATTAATTGCAAAACTATTGAAGTGTACGATAAATTAATTGCCGAAATATTGAAGTGTACGATAAATTAATTGCCGAAATATTGAAGTGTACGATAAATCTAATTGCACAAATATTGAAGTGTACGATAAATCTAATTGCACAAATAGTGAAGTGTAGGATAAATCGAATTGCAAAAATATTGAAGTGCACGATAAATCGATTAGGAAAAATATAGAAGTGTAGGGTAAATCGAATTACAAAAATATGGAAGTGTACCATAAATCTAATTGCACAAATAGTGAAGTGTACGATAAATCTAATTGCACAAATAGTGAAGTGTAGGATAAATCGAATTACAAAAATATGGAAGTGTACCATAAATCTAATTGCAGAAATATTGAAGTGTACCATAAATCTAATTGCAGAAATATTGAAGTGTACCATAAATCTAATTGCCGAAATATTGAAGTGTACCATAAATCTAATTGCAGAAATATTGAAGTGTACCATAAATCTAATTGCAGAAATATTGAAGTGTACGATAAATCGAATTGCTCGATGGGTAAAACAGTCAATGAATCTGTGCGCTTTATGCATAAATACAGAAGCAATTCACGCTTGCCCCTTCGTATCAGGGCAATATTTTCCAGTAACGACATAAACAGTCATTCATTACGTGTATTTAATGCATAGATATTTTCCATGGCAATTTGTTTCGTGATTGTTAGCTGAACGAGCACGTATGCTTTATTTCGATGCGATTAAGAACAGCGTGACTGATTAATCTGTGTATAGTTGTTTTATGAAACGCGGAAATAATTGCTATAGATACGGAATATCATCATCGTACTATGTATGCCAATTGTACCGTATCGTAATATACTGAACAATTGACGTAATTTAAAGAGGAGCAGGGATAAAGGGATAATTATTTTCTCTAATAACAACGGTACGAGAAAATTTTCGTACATAATTTAAATGGTTTCAACGGGTGAATAAGATGGAAGAACAATTTTTTTATAAGTGCCATTTTTTCAAAGTCACCTCTGTTCTTTCAGACATCGATGTACATTTCAGAATGCATATTAATATGACCTTAAAATAATCTTGGACTCCAAAATTTTCAATCAAAGTGGAACTTCCTTTCGTTCTTCCCCATTTCTTCCATAAAAAAAATTTCTTCAACTCTAAAATTGTGAATCAAACGTGAAACTTCCTTTCAATTTTGCCATTTCTTCCATAAAAAAAATTTCTTTAACTCCAAAATTTTGAATCAAATGTGAAACTTCCCTTCATTTTTCGCCATTTCTTCCGCCAATGAAATTTTCCTTCCACCCTACCCACCCTTTGAAACCATTCAAATTGCTCACACAAGTTTTCCAATTACACAAGAAGATAATTACGAAGTCCACGCTGTACAACTATACTTCGCCGTTTTTCCGTTTCTTCTCTTCGTTCATCATCGACGCGGTCATAAATCATGAAACGGCAATACCGATAGGAAACGTTCATTGGCTTCCGCTCTCTCGCAACAGACAGAAGAGATGAAACAAAGGGGCAAACGGCGAACGCAGAGACTCCATATAATCAAGTTAAATCTGGAACGATATTAAGAAAAGAAACGAGCATCGCGCGCAGTTTAGCTTTTATCACGAGGAGCAAATAACGGAAACACGAGAATTGAAACGAAGTATAGTGCATCCCTTGATTATCAAACACTACAGACGTTCATCTTCCTTTGCACACAAAGCTCCTTGCTAGATTCAAACGAACCACTTTGTGTATTAAGCGCGCTGGAATACAGCTGGACTTATTAACGAATGGACGTCAATTCGGACCAACATCTCTGGATTGTTCGTTTCACTCGCAGGGAAATAGTATCGAAACGTTGTTCGTTTTCCAAAGCTGCCTTTATTGTGTTGTTTTTATTTTTTATAGTTAAATAAGCGTATTATCAAGGATTTCGATGTTCGGAGAATGTTCAGTAATAAAGAATACATCGACTAATAAATAACAAATGCATAGTTCTAAATACTTCAGCGTTGTCGGTTGAAGATCCTCAGTCTTTGTCACGTGTCTTCTGTAGTACTGAAAACTTCACAGTTGAACGCCGGTGAAGGGTTGAATTCAGCCGAAACGTTTGTCCCAGAGTTCCTTGAAGGTGGTTCTGTAATGAGAAGAATAAATGTAAATTTATTATAATTGTAAATTCATTCATAGTTGCAAATACTACGATAGAACACTGTGATAGTAAGAGAAAGCTGTACTTTCTGAAGTGATATATTGATTTGTGATACTAGGTCACCTAATCTTGCTTGTGGAACGAATCGACGAGTATCTTTCTTTTTATAGGAGAAAACTTGGTCTGCGATAATTGTCGCGAATCGTCGATAATTCTTATGGTGGAAAGTTGGGAAAAGTTGAGTAAATAAACTTCGGCCAAAAGAATAATTAGATACCATTATAAAATTGTGAAACAAAATAATTACCAAATGAAATTGATAAAAAAAAAATAATTTTCGAATAAAATTGACCAGAAAATAATTAGATACCAAATAAAATTGGAGAAAAATATAATTACCAACTAAAATTGACCAGAAGAAATAATTTCCGAATAAAATTGACCAGAGAATAATTAGATAGCAAATAAAATTGGAGAAATATATAATTACCAAATAAAATTGACAAAATAAATTCGGAATTACACGAATAAAATGAACTTGCATGAAAATTCTCGAAGCTCGCGAAATTTCAATTTTCAAATTTCGCGCCTTACGCCGATCTTAGAATTAAAGTTGGAAATTGAAAAATTAAGTTCGCAGTTTAATTTCCAACGCGGCGAATAGAAAGTGTTCGTTTGGTTTCTTAAGGAATTTCAAGAATTGAAACTGGAGGAATCACGTACGTGCGACAAAGGCAGATTCCGTTCTCGCAGCGACCTCCAGCTTTGCCCATGCTGAGACAGTTGGCAGCGCAAGCACTGTGCTCAGCGACTCCTTTGATGGAGAGAAGGTCGCAGGTCACTCTTCTTTGTCTGTCGGCACGTTCTTCGTTAAAAATCGGTATGAGACTGTGCTCCTCCTCCCCTGAAATTTAAGCAGCGTCTTTAAACATTCTGTCCGCTTCGTACAACGACCGCAGAATCAACCCTCGGATGTCGAAGAAAATTCAACCAATTTGTTGTCTTCTTAGCGGTGTTACATTTAATCAGGATAACAGTACATCGGATAGTTGAAAAATTAAACGAACTTGCATTGTAAATGATTTTTGAATCATTTCGTTTAACTATATCTTTGGAATTTTTGCAGTAGGATTGTTCGATAATGATAGATTGCATCTTTACAATTTTCTAACAGAAATGACATACTTTTGTGTGATAAATTTTCACTGTAAATAAGTACTGAACTTATTTGCAAGAAATTAAAATCAATTTCAAATTTTTTCAAGACTTCTTTTGCATTCAGAAATTGTTCGACTACACAAAATATTGTCAAAAATAGAGAACACTGATTTTTCATTATCAAAAATGGAGAACACTGATTTTTCATTATCAAAAATGGAGAACACTGATTTTTCATTATCCAAAATAGAGAACGCTGATTTTTCACTGAAGTTTCACACAAAATTTCACTTACCAAGTGGGAGAGACATGGTGGCGGCTACAGCCACCAAAAGAAGAGCAGCAAGGAAGTAGATCTTCACCATCTTGTCTATGGTTTTCGTTGAACTTGGTGAATTTACTGAGAATACTAGTCGAGAATTGACTGTGTAGTGAATGATGTCTGAACCACCGACTGTGCAGCTTATATACAAATCTTTCTTCAATGGAGATCGGGTAAGTCCCGGCAGAAACGTAAAAAGATAAATATACAACTACGGAAAATAATATCTTGCAACAGTGTGTCACCTCGAACGATGAGGTTATCTATTGTGCGACGTTTTTACACAGCTGGTGAGTAATTACCAATTATTCTTCTCCAACTGATACAAGTTGCATAAGAAATAAACTCTTACAAGTAATAAGAACTCACAAGTGCAGGTCTGTGGATTTATTAAATATTTAACGAAAGCTTGAAGGATGAAAACTCACAAGTGAAGATCTACCGAATTAAAATTTCCTTAACATTTTTTCCATATTTTTTAAATATCTCAGAGCTACGCGTAAAGTAGAATATTAAAAATTGATGAAATTGAAACTGAATTGTCATTTATAAAAATAAAAAATAATATCGACATTTCGTTTCCCATAAATTTTATTATTGTAAATGAAAAATAACTGATTCTTCCAGGATATAAAAATTTCATATTTTAAGTTCTATTCTTTTCACAGATTTTTGTATTTTTATATTTTATACTTCTTTCTACTGCTTATTTTATATATATATGTTATTGTCTCATTTTGAAGTTTCCAGCCGTTTAGATAAAAATTGCGCGGGAATTCTAGAAGAAAAAATTTTTAACCCCTTACACATGCAACCGGTTGTACTCGTTGACACGTAACATAAACAAGCAATCGGGGGCTAAGTACTTCCCCGCCATCTTCGACTCCCGGGTTTTTCCTGACGTCTGTCGATTCTTTCAGTCAATATTGTTATCCTTACGTGTGATAACGTGTCGAAATCTGCTTCTGTCTGATCAGTTTTCAAATGTCTGCACGTACTGACATCACTTCCATGGAATGTAACAATTCCTACTACCACAAACTGTTCGATAGTTTCCAACGTGTGGCAAGATGTAAATATAAATTTTAGGCAAGTTTTTCTATCTTTTATTACTAGCATAAAATAATATTAATTTTTTATTTAATATTTTACTTAACATTTTTACTTAATATTTTAGTACTTTTTACTCGGAATAAGGAAAATCTTGATATGCTTTGTATTATTAGATTCGAATTAGAATATTTATAGGTTAGAAACTAATAGTAAAAGTTTGAGAACGACTCCAACGATAAGTATACATTACATTATTTTTCCACAAATGTGAAAATTGATCGAATATTGACATTTCTCCTATTCACAGGATTAATCGTTCAAAAATTACAAGTTTAATTAACGATTAGCAAAATTACACAAGGAAATGCACATCTGAAAATTTTGGGCACAAAGATTATGATTTATTTCCAATACAAAATGCGAAAGAATCACAATTCGGTATAAATTAATTAATAAACTTAATAAAGTTAGAAAATTCTTTCAAGTACCTCCAGGTGTTTCCATTACACGGTATTACATATTTTCTGAAGATAAAGTTACTTTATAATACCGGGTGTTTTTATAACACAATTAGAAATTATTAACATAGTATCACGTTCTTTCATAAACGTTAAAAGCTTTCAGTGCTTATTTCTATTTAAGCAAACTTACCAACCCTCGACGTAAAATCACATTGCTCTACCAACCGAGATTCAAGATATCTGATATCGTTGCAACCACTTTTCGTATCGTGAAGCTGAAGTTTATCAACACCATACTTCTTTTCTTTTTCTTTAAACAAACCTAACATGTTCTTTGTACATATTCGTAGTCAGATCTAATTTAAAGGAGTGTTCTTCGTGATATTTTTTTTTAACGAAACTACACCTTACAATTTTTATGAAAAACAAACCATGTTAAAAAATTAATGGACCATTTCAAATGTTTGTCATAAATCCCATCTATTAATGAAAACTAAAAAATTTATGACTATAATTTTGTACATATTTTTATTAATTTTTAAAATATCTTTACAATTTTTATAAAAAACAAATCATGTTAAAAAATTAATGGAATCATTTCAAATGTTTGTCATAAATCCCATCTATTAATGAAAACTAAAAAATTTATGACTATAATTTTGTACATATTTTTATTAATTTTTAAAATATCTTTACAATTTTTATAAAAAACAAATCATGTTAAAAAATTAATGGAATCATTTCAAATGTTTGTCATAAATCCCATCTATTAATGAAAACTAAAAAATTTATGACTATAATTTTGTACATATTTTTATTAATTACAATTTTTTATTAAAAAATTAATGATATCGCTATCCAAGTTGGTCATAATTCCTGTTCACCTGTTGTTGAAAACTGAAAAATTCTTTTTACACTCGTATCAAAAATTCTTCTTCCTTTTTCATTACATTACACGCAATTATCAGTGTTAAAAAGCATTTCTGAGTACTCGAGGAAATATATTTCACACCTGGAAGACGTGCACCTTTGTTCTCGGTACTTAATTCATATGAATACACATACAATACATCTCGTGTTTCTATCTTCCTCCTCCAAGCGGAATGCAAATGCCACGGGGATTCACCGTGCACGCAGAAACGCGGATGTTTCCTTGGAGATATGACCCAGACGGTTAGTAATGGCGACCGCAACCTGCATTTTCCTATTCCGCCGATCTTCCACTCGGGAACAAGAGAAACAATTGTGCGCTCGTTTTCGTTTGTTCGCGGTTTCATGTCAGTCGAGAAACGGGCACGAGTCGCGCGACACTTGCAAAGCGATTGAAAACTAATCGCTGATGAATACTGCTTGTGAGATTTGGAAACTGATGAGATTATTGAAAATTTTGAAGATTTGAAAAGTTTTTAAATTAAATAAGTTAAAATTTCAAAAATTTCAAATATTTTAAAAATTTCCGCACTGACAAAGCGACTGAAATATTACAGTTTTTAATCATTCTTCGTAATTGGCAATGAATATTTTCCTTTTTAATTTAAAAATTTGTAAACATATTGCAAAATTTTTAAATTCAAAATTAAATTCAAAATTTCGTAAGTAATGGAAATTGTGTAGTCTTTTTTTTTTTTTATTACGGTAGATTGTATATGTAGCGAGTTATCGTAATTACTGAGATACTATTTGTAACTTTTAGCTTCAAGAGTGCTAGTAGGATTTAATTGAAAGTATTGCATTATTTTTTTTTAAATAATTTCGAAACAGTAGAGGATAAGAATTACGTCAATTTTTCCCTGTATCGTATGAATCGATACAATTGTTACTACTCCGGAATTACAATTTAAGACGTACTTAATAAAGGAATCAGAGAGCGTCTTTCATTCAGTTATCCTTTTTCCCTATCGCTGTACTCCGAATGTTGCAATTGATACCTCACAATGGATTCATCTCAAAGACGCGGTTTCTAAAGAAAATCAAGCGGCTTAAGTACACCATTCATGTTAAAATTCGTTCTTATCTCCCGCCATGTTTAACTTACGATTGCGAATGAATAAGAAACGTATTTCATGCGTGACGAATGAACGAAACAGTGGGCATATTAATACGAGTATTTTATAATACCGTCTCTCTCTGTCGTGTTTTCGCAGAATTCTCCGGCTGCGATATCAAATCATCGGACTTGTTTTTTTAACATTTGCATTAACACGACGTAATAACCATTAACCGACGATTCTATTTATAATACTCGTTATCGTTCGGTTATTCCTGACCCTTCACCACTTTCGTCTTATCTCGCGTTTCCGTAGACGTTGCAGTCATTCGCAAACGTTGAACGAGACATGGCAGTGAAGATGAATCGTTACAATACGAAATTTGAAGTCCTCTCCCTTAGCGAGAATAATTACACTCCAGGTGTATATATTACGGCCGCTAAAACTGTAAGATGAATAGCTCTGCTTGCAGACAATTTTCTCGAGCAATTAATTTAACGTTCCTCTCGTTGTTTTAACAGCAAATCGTCCTGACATAATCTCTACGAAGGCAATTTTCGAGTTGTTTTATTATCGGGCATGCGTCAAGTCTAAATCCCGGACAAACTTATCGTATCACAAAAATAGCAAAAGATATCTAAAGTTAATTTTAACAATTTTATTTGAAGACCGTATTACAATATTCTGGTAGATTTTGCTTATTTCGTAGAAATCGTGCTTTCGTTGAATATCGTGGACCATCGGTAACACAGTACAAAAAGCTCGCTGATACAATTAAACGTACTTATTGCAATTAATAATATTTCACCGTACATGCAAGTGAAATTGATTAATTACACTTACAGTTAACCGTACAATGTTAAGTACACGTATTTTGTATGTGTGAAAAATTCAACATTTGTCGTTCTTGGTGAAAGAAAAAAAGAAGTAATATGCATTCGATTAATCTACGAATATTTAACCAAAGTATATAATATTCTTTATCTCCTGTAAAACGTTAAAAATTGCATGGTGTGCGTATCTAAGCTAAAACAGTGATTATAGTACAAAAGTGAAGGAGTTCTTGTCTTTCTCTTTTTTTTTTTTTCACAAGCTTGCAGTTTTGCCACAAAGGTTAATCTTGATGCCAACCTTACGAAGTCCTTCGGTTAATCTCTTGCCAAGATCGGCGTCAACTTCCGCGAAATTCTTTACAGCTCTTTCGACGATGAACGTCGACGCGTTACGAAGACTGCCCACCATGTTGTCCACCAGCCTGCTCTTTTCCTCCGCGTTCAGAACTCGTCTCCAGAACAAGGTGGCTTGTCCGAAATTGTCTTCATTTTCAGGATCGTAGCGGTCTACGTCACCGGAAACGGGGAAGCTTGAGATACGAGCAGCTGGACACTCTTTAGGTCCGTTAAAGCTGTTGGGGAAGTAATTCGGTGCGCCATTTTGGTTGTTCAAGGCCATAAAGCCATCACGTTGATAATTCATGACGGCGGAAATTGACTAAAATGAAAATAGAACAATTAATTTTCTTGTTAGGTACAGATACAGTAATAAGAGAATTTTATCGTAGGAGTTTTAAGGTTGTTTTTTTAAATTTAAAAGAAAAACGAGTGACTTAGAGTTTTTCAACGACTAGAAAATTACTTTAAATGTAAAGACACAAAGGGGATAATTACTTTGTAAGGACAGTTCACAGGTAATTGAAGATGATTCGGACCAAGACGATGCCTGTGAGTGTCGCCGTAAGCGAATAGTCGACCCTGTAGCATTTTGTCAGGGCTTGGTTCAATACCAGGTATCATGTGAGCCGGATCGAAGGCCAACTGCTCCACTTGAGCGAAGTAATTTTCTGGATTTTTGTTCAACACCAGCTTACCAACTGGCATGAGCGGGAATTCGTCGTGCGGCCATATCTGTACAATTCAGAATAAACATACATTTAATCGTAAAACCTTGTCGCACGTTTACTTTGAAACTTTCTATTGGAATTCGAATAGGTAAAACAAATCGATGGTTAGGTTACTTATGCAAATATATATGCTGTCAAATTTTTATAACTGAAACTAAATGTTTAGTCTATTGTCTAAATTCACTTAATGGAAATTACTCGTTACTATAAGAGTAATTTCATTACATTAATCAATTTACCATTTTCTTCTTTATCGACCTTGCTGCTTATATTATAAAAGTACATAAAATCTGAATTATTCCAGCTAGTAATTGCAGTTTATAAAGTGATGCAGCAGAATCTGAGATTTATCATTCGTTACCTTAGTCAAATCGAACGGATTCCATCTAAAGGTTTTTGCCTGTGTCATAGTCATCACTTGAATGGAGAACGTCCAGCTAGGGTAATTACCATTACCGATTGCGTTGTAAAGATCTCTGATTGAGTAATCCGGATCGGAGGAGCTTAATTCAGCAGCCTTATCGGCTGGGATATTCTTGATTCCTTGGTCAGTCTGTACGAAACAATTTCTTTAGAATAATTTAATGACAAACAACTGAACAATCTTTCAAACATAAACAGATACCGTTTGGATGAAAATTAAACACGATATTCAGCTTAAAGAAACATCAGAGGCCCTGTATATTTGTGTAGTACTGTTGACTTAATTTTCCAAATCAATATATGTATTTTTAAATATTCCATCCATTCGACCCAATTTATATATTATTATATTTAAACAGTCTCTTGCATTTCCTCTTATTTACAAAACTGTACTTTTTATTAATAATGAAATCTCTAGTTTGACATTTTGCCTCTGTAAAATAATTATACAATATATACATCTATCTATTTGCAAACACCTCCTTTAACTTTTCCTTCATACTTTTGATAAACTTTTCAAAAATTCAAAACTACACTGTATTATTACAAATCGGACCGAACGAAATACACGTTATACTCCATCCTGTACATTTTATCCAAACGACGATCCTTATCCTAGGTAGTACAGTGAAAACCACACCTTATAGTGGAATTTACAGTAGACTGCTTCGTTGTCGGCGTTCACGAGCTTGAACGTGTGGGAACCGTAACCGTTCATGTGACGATGACCGTCGGGAATACCTCGATCCCCAAACAGGAACATGACCTGGTGCGTTGTCTCTGGTCTTAGAGAAATGAAGTCCCAGAACATGTCGGCGTCCTGTGCAAGACAATTCAATTAACATGCCGTTTAGTATGGCGCGCGATAATTAGGGAACGCGGATATGCTGCACGGTATACGGAACAATAACATAGTTGCGCTACTAACGACCACGTAAACGCGCAATTATGCGCCTCTCGATGGGAAAAACGAACACAGAGGCGCGACACAAAGGCGTTTAAAGGCTCGAGAGCGTAAGCTAAACTGTGTCCTTTTCGAGAACGGTATCAGCAGCGTTTGCGAGCGTTATCAAAGATCTTGGAACAGATCGTTAATGAATCAGTGAATGACAAATTAGTTAGGCAAGCGTTTGATACTTTAACGGTGAAATTCGTAGAGAAGAAATTTATTCTTAGTTGCAAGAATTACCAATAGGGGACGGTTTCTAGACTTATTTTTCGTACACAGGTGTAGAATGAAAATTACAGAATTTTTATATCCGGTAGATTTCTCATCGTGACCTTCTTTTACAAGCAAAGGTACGCGGTAGAGAATCTCGTGTTCTACACTTTGAAACTTGGAAACCTTCTCTTGCATTACGCATGATTTTCTTCCAAAGAATGGTGAAAGAATCTAAAAATTTCGGGCAAAGTGACGTCGAGTATTTTTAGCAAGATCAAGTTGAGGTCCCGAGAGTTTCTTACCCTGTAAGATTGCTCGGATATCCAGCGCTCGACTTCAGAAAATCACGAGTGCTTAGGAAACCCTATGCTGTAAGAAACTTTCGGGTCCCGGCCGACCTGAACTAATCACTTTCCAACCCGAGTTAAAGCTCAAAGGGTATCTGAAAATTTTCGAGCAATGGAACGCACACTTGCTGACGTTTACATGCTTCAATTTTGCACACAGGGGGCTCTCTAAAGGTACACTCTTGATATTGGATTAATTTGTCATTCACTGGTCCGGTGTTAGAAGGACATAATCTCCTGAATGTAAATTATGTCGTTCTGGAACAGTGTTACAAGATTTTACAAAATTACATTAAACACCTTACACAATTCCTGAAGGTGTAGTTTATAATTTGAGTTAAAAGTTTTGGTCTTTCAAAAATGTTAAACCACTTGCCCCCCCTGATGAATTTTTAACTATTTTATTCCATCTTACAAAAGCTTGCAAACAGAAAAATTGTAAAAAAAAAGGCACTAATAACATGGTAGAGCTACAAGAGTATAAACATACATGATAAAGATGTAATTCATCTCTAGTTCATCTCTAACCTTTTCATTCTATCTTACAGAAAGCTTGCAAATACAAAAATTGTAAGATGAAGAATAAAACAGAGCACTGATAACCATGACGGAGCTACAAGGATACAAACATACATGGTGTTCTTCGCGCAATGGATTAAGATAATTCCTATTAGAAGATACAATCTCAGGTGACCAAAATCTTCAGCTCCAATTATAACCAACTAACATTCCTCGCCGTTCTCTCTAACTAATCACTCTTCCAAAACAAAAAGCACGAGTTGGCCGGGAACAATCTGAACTCCAAGGTATCCAGTTCACGAAACATCAGGTCCCTCGAGTGCAATACAACCGGCGACGAACCTTCAGATGGGTAACAGGATTCCTCTTCTGCGTGTGGATGAAACTGGGGAAGAACAGCGGGTCCTTGATGAAGAAGATCGGCGTGTTATTGCCCACCAAATCCCAGATACCCTCCTCGGTGTAGAATTTGACCGCAAAACCACGGGGATCCCTGCAAATAGAACGAAACGGAACGTCGTCAAAGGACAAACGAACCCATGGGAGCCTGCGTTCATGGCAAAACGCGTTACACGGACCAAAAAACGGTTCGTCCTCCGCAGCTGGACTCACGTTTCCATCGAGCGCGCTTAACAATAAATTGAGTCATCCGGTTGAAACGCAATGGGAAAACAACAAAGGGGCACGAAATCGCGCATGATTCATTGGGAAATGCTGGTCTACCGACAATTTCGAAAATAACAAAAAAAAAAGAAACTTTTCCACGGAAGTTCAGTGCACGATTAGTCACAAGGACGCCGCGCTCGTTCGCATTTCTGCCCGTTTTTTTGCACGTTTCCGTATGACTAAGTCCCCTAATTGGTATGCAGAAAAAACAAAGGATTTTCTAAACACTATTCTGTAATCTTTGCAATCGGTATAATCGCCACAGTTTAACTGGAGTTCGCAATTTTTCTTTCGTGAATCAGGTCTCGCTCTGTCGTGCAATACTTGTACTTTTTTCGTGTTTTCTTAAGAGACTTGCAAGTAATTGTGCGTGACGAATACTATAGTACTGTGTTCTAGAGAGATAATAAATTTTAACGAAATAAACACACAAAAGATTTCTATAGCGTTTACTTCATCACGGTGAAACTTAGGCGCGTAACATCGAGCAACCCGCCATGCATCACCGCACGCTTCGAGATTCGTTTTAAAACGTCCTCTGTATAATGTATAAATTTACGAACGGAATGGTTAAAATGTTTTTTGCGTAAAAATTGTTTAAAGGAGGTATTCGGTCCTCGAAAAATTTACTATTTTCATTATTGTCCCCCGGGGGTTTATGTGTCTGAAGTTATATATTACCTCGGCCAAACGTTTCGGTGGTAATAAAGATACGAAAGTCCATTTGCTTTCTCCGCGGACCAGAATAAAATATTAAAATTACATTCCGTCTACAATTTTTATGACGCTTCCGCGTTACACCGTGTACATGCTCGCATGAATATTCATCGAAACGGAATCAGGTGTCCGTAGAACTTATCGCATCGAACGTTTAAATGGTTCAATTTCAGCCGGCGATCGTATCCGTCACGCGTCCGCGTGTTTCGTTCGATTATTCGGCGCACACGAACGAGCAGCACGACGTTCTCAAATTATTTTTCTCTCGTAGAATTGAACGACGAATAAGAAAGAGAAAAACGGCTCGACGCGTGTATCCTTGTCAATTTCTATTTTAGATGTAAGAATTTCATTTTGTTAATTGTTATCGTTACTTTTACGCGTTGCGACATTTTTCATCGGCACAAACCTGATTCTTTAAATTTACGAATTTCATTTCGAAGTTTATACGCCAACGCGTGCAATAACGCATTGTACGGAGCAAAAAATTCAAAGAATTATGAGAAACAAAGAGGAATACACTTCCATGCATTTCTGTGCGTATAAAAAATTGATATGATCCGATGTTCTTTTTAATTTACGTCCCGTGTGTTATTATTTTAAATTGCGTCTTTGTACGGAAACAAATTACGTTCTGATGCGTTGAATACTAAACAGGTCATTATATTATATTACCGCTGTATTGTAATTAAGCATGGTACAACGTGTACAAACATTTTACTCGCACTTTAGGAACTGTAGGTACATTTCACGTTCTGTCATCTGGAGTTATTTTTTAAACAATGATAACGTACAAAAAAATATGTATATATTTATATTTTGGAATCGGGGCCTCTGTAACCCAACTACTGAAGCAAAAATCGAGGAAAAATATAGAGAACAGAGTACGTAAAGTTCCAATAAGTAATGCACAAAGAAACGCCTAAACTCATTTTTATTTTGGGCTCAAAATTTATTAAAAAGAGGAAAAGACCCCAAAAAAATATCATAATCTGTGAAAACCAATAAGTTAGTCTATGAAAACGTAAATAGCCATTAGGACTGTAGACGTTAACAATGGAAATGTATGCTTTATCCTTGTATAATCCTTGACAATCAGTAAAACGTTTAATAATAAAAAAAAAAGTGCACAGAGTCCCTCAAATTTTTTCAATTATTCCAGTGTTAACAAGAAATTTCGAAACGATACTAAAAACGAGCGTTTCTAAACTTCTCTTACTCAACAGAGAATGTACCCAGTCCGTTCGACTCGTCTGCATACAGGAAACGGAAAAAAGAAAAAGAAAAAAGAAAGGGCACTGTTATGACTAATAAAAAGTCACGATTCACGAGTTCGCGCGAATTTTAACACCGGAAACGTGAATATTATCACGTTTACATAAGTATGTCGAACCGGAAGTGTAACACAGTTTACAATTACCTGACTGTATCCGCGGAACCAGACTCGCCGCCAACGGTGGAAAATCTCACAGCAACATCCGTTCGTTTTCCAATGGAGGAGAAAACCTCTGCCTTACAGTATTTCGAAATGTCGTGGGTAACTTCGAAATAACCGAATGCACCTGCGGCCAAGCAAGAAGAATAAAGGATAACACTTGGCGGAAGTGAACGTGGGCGGAGGGGTCTCGTTTATGGCGTATCCAAGAGTTTGCCCCAACATTTGGAACGTTTTACGGATATTTTCTCGGTGCATATGTAACTTCCTCCGCGACTTCTTGCTTCTCACCCTCGATGTTCTCTTTTTTTTTCCTTTGTCTTTTCTTCTTCTTTTTTTTTTTTTTACGATATAGCCGACGTTATGCGAGAAACTTTCGTAGATTGTTTCGTCCCCCGTGCGAGAAGATAAAGAGGGGGAAATATGGCGGTGAAAATGGAGGTAGGAACTATTGAAATGAAAGTTGGTATTAGTCGGGGTCCACGGCATAGCGAGGTCGTAAATTAAACTCTGAAGAATCGACACCGATTGATGTTGCAGCATTCAAAGGCCGTGTGTTGCAGTCTGTTTGAGGGTTCCAACAATAAATGAAGGGTAGCATATGATTTGATATTTCAAGTATAGAAAATGGTATTTCATTTACAAATGGAAAATATGTTAATATTAAGCTACACAACCCTTATATAGGACAAATTAACGCAGAAATCGACAGAAAAATTTTGACGGACCCAACCGGGAATCGAACCCGGGACCTTTGGCTTAGCAAGCCGAGGCTTTGCGCACTACGCCAACTGCTCCCTCTGTATTCTCCGTTGTCTGTTTCCTATTTGAGCATGGAGGCCCCGATACTACATTAAGATGCTAAAGACATTAATGAGACCTTTTAACTTCCAAAAGCGGCTTTTCCTAGAGGGAAAAAACCCTAATTTGTCCTAGCTGCGCGCAGTTTACAGTGAATATATTAGAATCAGTTTGACTTTTTCTGTCAATTTTTGGGCCCCGGCAGGTAAAACATGACCAATTTTACGACCTCGTTACATTGTTGCCTCGACTATAATTATTGGACGGTGCTGTTGAAAATGTTACATTGTTGCACCGACTATAATTATCGGACGGTGCTGTTGAAAATGTTACATTGTGCGGAATATCTTGTTGCGTGTTGGTAATTTTTGTAAAAGATCGCGTGTCTGATATGTAATTCGTGTTTCACAATGTAAAGTTTTATCGGGTCTGTGAGAATGTGAAGCGAAACAGAAAGTAACTGCGGAAAAACAGAAATTAGGCGTGAATAATAAACTTGATGACTGTATTTACGATATAAATTAGCAATTTTTCACGTTACCGCGTAATTGTTAAATACACTTCCGCTGAAAAGTTTCTTACCAAAGTTTCTGAAAAGTAGGAAAAAGAGTGGTAAACTTCGCTTCGTTGAGTTCGATGCGAAACTTCGAAATTGATCAAGGAAAATTGTAATTTCGTCGATTTGAATGAAACGGGTGAAAGTGAATTGTATTACATCGTACTTTGTATCGCGCGACGAACTTATGAATCGTAGTGTACGTGAAAAGTGCATTTATTCCTTATCGCACACTCGATGCGATAAACCTGGATTGCAAAGTAATTGAGAGTAATTTTGTGTGCAGCGAGTAATTCAAGAGGGATATAAACGCGTAATGCTTCAGGCATGAGTAACTTGGAATTTTATCAATGGTATACTTGTAAGAAAAGTTTCAACCGGCGATAAGCATTAAAATTACATCGAAGAGATAACTTGGAAAATGTACATGAGATTTCTTTAAGAACTCTTGTAACGAAGAATTTCAATAACATCTGTTATCTTTCAATAACACATCTTATCTTTCAATAACATCTGTTATTCTCTTAAAAATTCCATCAGCTCTATAGTAAAGATCGTAGGACAGGATTAAAACGTGACAGATCAACGTACCAGCTCCTTTCGCGTGCACCACACGCTCTGGAATTCTTTCTCTATTGAAATGAGATATCTCGTCCAAATAGACGAAATCTTGGAGAAGTACCGGGCCTTTTGGGCCAGCCGTCAAGCTGGCTGTCTTGTTAGGAATCGGTGCTCCATTCCCGGTTTGCAATACCGGGCACTCCTGAGAAAAAAAAAACGAAACATTTCGTTAGGAGAAAAGAGTTGTACAAATATTTGTCGAAAATTCTTTATTTTCTCGAGTAAAAATGACTTGTGTCTTTGGGATGTAAGTACTTGTGTGATTAGAGATCATACTCCCATAAGCCCACCTTCTCTAACATGATCGTAGAAACGAGGCAGATGTAATTGTCATTACTGGCATTAACAATAACATCGACGAATCGGATCGTTGAAAATTTCGTGACGTGAGATTTAGGCTGTGGTTATAGTGGTTGTGATAGATTCGAACGATGTAGCATTCTGACGAACTCAAGATTTCAAACCAATCAAATATGCATACAGATTCTTTTAAGTGGTACGCAATTAGTCTTCAGATGTTTCATTCGTCAGAACGTCAATTCGCCTGAATAACGCGTCCACTATAATTACAGGCCCTAAGGCGGTGCGAGCGAAGTGTAGCCCTTTTGCCCTTGGACCGCCCTGGGCAACCCCGGGGGCAAACTCCTGAGCACCGTGCTATGCAGAGCTGGAAAGATTGCGCGTGGAAGGAATGTGTCGATGTTTGAATATCGCGCTCTGTGTATATTATCCGCGGTAGATTTCGCACCGTTTTCAGCGTAGGGCCCCTCACGCGCCTGCTTCCCCCTCCTTTCGCGCAGCGTGCCTCTGTTGCCGAGGCAACCGCGTGACGCTAAGGAGGCGGCCATGACAGGCTAGCGTCTCCGTAGTCGAGAAAGCTTTAGGAAACTTTTTCATCCTTGCGACTTTGGATTGTCTCAAGGTCACTTCAAAGACATATGCTGAACTTCTTTTTTTCTATATTCTTTCATAATACCAAAACAAAAATATCGATTTTATTCGATTTAAAAAACACGAGATGAAAAATTCTGAATATTGAAAAATTGAAATTAGTCGTTTCTTTCTTCACAGTGATATTCTACGTAGAAAATAGTGATGTGAACTAAAAATTCACGATTGTGAAAAGGAATCGAAAGAAAGATAACTCTCGTCAATTTGTCAACAACTCCAGACATGTATATTTATAGTAATGACACCTCGTAACGTGCCGTTCTATCGAAACAGTTTCGTAATCCTCGTAATAGTTGTCGCAGACAATGCAAGTTCCAGTAAAGAACTACTCTGATTCATAAGAACTTTTGCTCGCGTTAATCTAATCGTATTATCAAAATGAAAAATTAATAATCAGTACGAAGAATAAAAATTTTCTACCAACGTTCCACAGATCGAGTTGAAAAGCTACGTTAAAGCATGTAATTACAAAATTGTAAAAACAATTATGAAAAAAAAAAACAGAGCAGTTGTGCTTAAATCTGAAGTAAAAAAATGTGCCTGAAGAACGTTCTTATCGTCGTCAAATGGAAACATGGTAATAACGTGCGACGAAAAATCTTGAAACAATTAAACTTTGACTTCTGAACCGCGTTGACTTTAATGTATCGCGAGAACAGTAATTGATTGAATGAGAATCTGAAAGAGCGTTTCACACGAATGTTACGCGGTGAAGAAAATAAGGATACTTTTATTTTCACAGAATTATCCGATCGTTAGGCCAGGTATATAGCGTCCAGCACGATACTACTCTCGTCTATGATGAGTTTCACTTACTCATCCTAGCATATTACGTACGTATGCATGCAACGATTCCACTTAATTCCGTAACAACGGATTAGACAATGTTGACTTTGATTATGGAATGGTAGTTTGAATGTTGCGCAAAATACAATCCCCCTGTGCAACAATAGCAATCACGTTGTAACGAATCGTATCGATGTATCGGGGTCTACTTAATCGATCACTTAAAATCGGTTCATCACGGGCTAGATCGTACACGCACGATACAACGTTGATTTGAATACTTGTTCATATTCCGAGTAACTGTTCTAATCAATTGTTAATTGGTATCACACCTTGAAGACGGTGTCATCTCACTTAATAAGTACCAAGGAGACTTTAAACTTCGTGAAAATTAGGGTGAAAGCTTAAAACGTTATGTATCGCAATTGCAAAAATTAATTGTAAAAAAACAGAATTTACCGTTACAAAATTTAATTACAAAAAAGAAACTAAGATTTGTCGATGCAAAGTTAAATTGCAGAAAAATAGCGATTGCGCTAAATTTCTTTTATTAACCCGATTTGATTGCAAAAAAACAGAATTTACCGTTGCAAAATTTAATTACAAAAAAGAAACTAAGATTTGTCGATGCAAAGTTAAATTGCAGAAAAATAGCGATTGCGCTGAATTATTTTAATTACGCTGATTTGAGTACTTGTTAAGTTCGTCGGTGTAACGAGCGGTATTAATTAATTAAACCGGTGTAAATAAGTGTCTTAATAAAATTTGTAAACAGGTATTAAAGAGACTTCGAACTTCGTAAAAATTTCGGTGAAAGCTTAAAACGCTGCGTGTTGCAATTTAATTGAACAACTGTCGTAATAAAAATTACGAACAAGTGTCGGAGTGACTTCGAACTTCGTAAGAATTGCGGTAAAAGCTTAAAACGCTGCATGTTGCAATTTAATTGAACAACTGTCGTAATAAAAATTACGAACAAGTGTCGAAGTGACTTCGAACTTCGTAAAAATTGCGATGAAAGCTTAAAACGCTGCGAACTGCAATTGCAAAATTTAATTCCTTAGAAAAGGTAGATTTTTCCGTTGCAAAATTGAATTGTAAAAAAAAAAAAACGAAGTACGATTTGCCAATGCAGAGAGTTAAATTGCAGAAAAATAGCAATTGCGCCGAATTCATTTTACGACTTCGCCGTTTCACTCGACTGTCACAGTTTTCCTCGAAGCGAGAAATACGGTTCTTCCGTTTAATGGAAACTTCGCTTCTGAATAACTTAAATCATCGTTAATCTACGCGACGTTCAACGCATTAAAGAACTATTACGAATCGACAATCAAAGATCAATTAACTTATACAATTCCCTTAACGAATACCTCTTCAATCGTGGCCGTTCCTCCGCGAGTTCCGTGGAAGAAAAGAGGAAAATAGATTACCGAGCCGGTCGTTCCTTATCTCATTAAGCAATCTAATTTATTACCCGATCGAAACGAGCCTCCGGTAAGACCGGTTAACAAGCGTGTAACGTTAACAAATGTAATCGTAACACGGTAACAAATTTATATTTTCTTTCTTGTTCTAACACATTATACCACTTTTGTCCAATTGTCGTCTGAACCATCTTGCGGAGAAATCTACCGTATCAAAATCAATTTGCACAATTAATCTACCTAGTAATATACGCAGTGTTGATATATCATTTTATCGTTAGAATTAATTTTATTCCATTAACCCTTTCAGAACCGCGTTATTCTTTTTTTTTTTTTTAAGAATTTCTTATTTATCTATCAATCGTCGCGTCTGTAACGAGTCCTAAATTGAGACGAATTTTTGTTGTAGTATTTAAGTGAGACATGTACGTTCTATTAGTTACATTACATTTTTAGTAATTTTTAAAATTTTTTGGGTCGCTTTCGACCCAACGTCTTTCGGCCGCCATTATTCTAACCTTAAGTGTACAATCGAACGAAAGAACTTGATTAATATTGACTCGAACAGAGAATTCTTTTTTCTTTGTTTTAAATAAAATGAAAAAAAAAAAAAATTATGGTCAATAGTCACTAGATTTTTCGAGGAAATTGGAGCAATTTCGAACCGAAAATCTATCGCCGTTGAACTTGTCTGTTATCGTCAGGGGAACGATATTTACCATTTTTTCGAAGTTACGCAACCGTATCATTTTTTATCGCGCCCAGCCGTGACACACTTCGAGATCTGGTTGCAACAATTATCGTCGTTCATCGGTGCCCTCTCTGGGATACCTGAACGGCAATCCGTGGTTTGTATATCGCCGTGTCATGTCTGGCAATTCCCTACGGAGGATTGTGGACCCGAGCGTCAATCATTTCCACGTGAAATTATTCGAAAGATAAAAAATGACGCATTTCTGAAAAAAAAAATAACGGAAATGTCGTCGTTGACGGCGTTAGACCCTAATCAACGTAGAAAGATTACGTCCCTTAACGAGCAGTGTGAATAATCCGGACAGTAAGGTAAATAACACACGGTTAAATTGAAGTCGTATATCGAACGACGGTGTTTCCCAAGGAAAACCAAACAATAAAGAAGCAGCGAGCGTGAAATATATTTTTCTTCTAATGTGTTTACCCTCCGATGTGTAACAAACAGACGCTGAAATGAAACTGGTGTGTTTTCCCTGTTTTTACAGTGATTCAGGAATTGTGTACACAGAGAAATATTTGATAGTACCCTGTATCTTTTAATTTTCTTATGTGAACGTGGTGAAACATATAGAAAAATTGTAAATAACCGATGAACCACCTGGAGAAATTCTTTCATCTTTCTTATAATAGAGAATTTATTCGATTAAAAGAATTCTTGGTAAAACAGAATATTACGAAATAATGTAACTTTATTTCGTGTCCTTTTTTCGGAACAGAAAACATCTCTGTTGAAGTATTTTTTTACGACTTTTGGAAAATAGAGACTGATTCGGACGAAACGCTTTTTCTTTACGCCGGCGAGAGTAGAGAAAAAATTCGCTTGAATTGAATGTGTTATTGCATTCGCATTGTAAAGGTACGAATTCAATGGAAAGAAAACGGAAGCGTGCAATTCTTTAGTAGCAACAGCATTTAGAAGCAACGTAACAGATTGACAGACTTTTTTCTAGAGGACCTACTTAGGAAATGGAAAGTTACGATTTGATAATTCCGAGGAATTTACGTAAGGGACGAAATTCTACGAAAAAGCAATGAATTATTCGAAATGTATGCATTTTAATCGAAAAGAGCTTCATTCGTACACATATAATTCGATGTGTTGCAACGACTGAGATTCCTTAACCTTCATCCAACCTTTGAAATATTTTTCCACGCTAACAGCCTGAGGCATTTGGTATAACCTAGTTCTGAGGTCAGAATGAAGATTACCGCCATAGAATTGATAACTTCCAAAATTGTTCCGGCAATTTCTTCATCTTTCTGTTCTAACGTGTGTTGCGCAACACACAAACTTTTGACTTGACGAGACACAGCTCGTTCGGATCATGTCTGCTAGATGTCGATGCATTTAAGGTTATGACGACGTAACCGTCAGCCTTCCTCGTTTCTGTAAGACGAATCGCGTGGCTTGTCAAGGTTAGGATGACTCTGTCCTACAAATCTCATGGGAATGGATGTTGCAATACGCTTCACGACTGGTATTGTGACTAAATTAGTTTTCCGGTTTAATGTGAACCGGCATAACTTCACGCACGCATAATTATTCGATGTAAAAACGTGATTTTATATACGTCTTGACGATTGCTTTGTTTACGTTGATATTAATGGTGGATTACTACGTCTTTTAATTACCCAATCTTTCCCTCATTTCTAAAGACAAAGATACTGCGTTTTGTTCGTGATGTTAAATGCGTATGAATAGAACTTCGTTAAGTTATTTTTATGGAGGTACTGTCAAACTTTAGTTTTATTAACCTTGCTGCAAAACATCGAATTTGTTCGAAGAATTTCTTTGAAATATTACGACGCGTATCTATTAATGTGAACACGATAAACACAGGCAAAGATCAACGCCCCCTAAACATCACTCTACGTCGCTATTTTGTAATAAAGTGTAAATCTGATTTAAAAGAGGCAAAGATCGAAATGTTTCGTATCGATCTTTGTTGCTATCTGAAGAAAACAATACCGTATCTTATTAACTCGCTTGGGTGGGGTCAAAGTTCGTCGAATTTTCGATCACCGTACTTTTATCGACGGTATTTTTAACGTAAATGCAAATCCGCCTTTAGAATTTATTCGAAGAAAATTTCGACAGTTTTTACTTTTTTTTTCAAGTGTTATCTCGGTTATCAAAGGATGAACTAACATTACATTTCGACACTATTTAAATTTCTTACATCTGTTATACCTGTTTTTTATATTTTGATGAATTGCTCGTCAACTAATTTATGCTTAGTCACGTGAGTATTTGACGAGGTGTTTCTAAGGTTTGCAATTCGTGTTTCAACTTTTATTATTACCTGTTCCTTATTCTTTTGTCATTCTTTCATTCTCATTCGTTCCTGTATCTACTACACATCCTGTTTCCTTCACAAAATCTTTCCAACAAAAACATTTAACTCGACTAAAATTAATTATCCATCATAAATGTGCTATTGTTCGTTAAGTGAAACAATATTTTTCCACAATACTCTAAAGTGAAACATATAAAAAATATCTTTGTACAACTAAACAAACTCTGTTTATCAATTATGCAAGGCACGAAAAAAAAGACTACATGACAATTAGTTAGTTCACATTGCAAAACGCATTCTAACTAAATATCAAGATATTCACGGACAAGAGTACGCGCGTCCTTGTGGGGAATATCATTAACCCGCTTGATTTCGCTATTATTAGCTTCATTTGCAACGTCACTACAAGAAGGAAAAATAGTGTAATTCACGAACTATTCGAATAACCGTTGTACTGAAGATATTCATTGGGCTAATTGACATTACTATTTACAATTATCAATATTTTGTTTTCTGGAAATGACTCTGGTGCCATTCTACCATTCTACGTTGAAAGGTATAGTATTTAATTATAAGGAAGTTTTAATGAATGAAATTCTGTAAATATAAATTCTTTTCCACATTTTAGTAAAAGTGTCTGGTAAATACTGTTACTGTTAATTCACTAATGTTATTAGCGTTGATGTACTGTGAAAAATGATGGCTGTATAGTGTAGTATGTATTTTAACCTATATAGAAAGTGAAAAACGCGCCATGTTTAACATGGAGTGAAAGGAAACCCGCACACAGACGTAGGTGTTAGTGTAACCCTTTCGCTATTAAACCCGTACGTCGTATTCCCTATAAAATATACCACACTAGGAGTACATATTAATCGATAACTAAATAATTATATGAAAAATCCACACATGACCGGTTGTTTTTTTTTTGGAAACTTTATGGTATTTTGAAATGTTTTCAAACAAAAAAACAACAGCGTAAATGTTAAGACGCATTCTAAAACTGACGTACTTAAATAAAACTCTGGGAACAAGCTTTTCCTGCTGTGAAGCGTAATAATATTGTCTAACACGACACTGAATCTCACAACGTTGCATCTACATTCACATCGCGAAACTTATTTCTTAAGACGATGATATTTGTGTATAGGTATAGTTTTTTATTTGAGTAACGCTTATCTCATGGAAATACGCCCGTCATTTATAATGACCATCTCGAACAGGCTTCTGTTGTATAATCAACCATGAAATATTACATTCTTGAAAGAATGTATCGTTATCGCCGCTTCTTTGAACAGAAAACAACTTTCTCTAGACGTCTAAGTCGCTTGCAGAAATATTCCGTTATATCGAACTCGAAATTTCTATCGAATCGAACTGTCTGACCGAAGTCTAGACGAAGTAGTGGTTCGAGGGTGATGGTTACGTCATCCTGAATGATTTTGCGGTTTGTTTGCCGCGAATATTTCAAGCATACTTTGACCATGGTGAAAAAAGTTATCTGTCCGTTGAAATGTATTAGAGAGGAGAGATAGTATGAGAGAGAGATGTACTTTGGCGTAAGTAGAAAACACAAAAATGACGTATTTTGATATGAATCGTCGAAAGTGGATGGTATTCGATGAATGAAAGATCATTTATCATAGACCACATACGAATTTTTCTTATCGTGAATTTTCACGTGTGTAGCATTGAAATAATAAATGAATTACGAACAACATGTTCTCACGATAAAAATAATTCCTCCTTGTATTTTATCCGAAGGTAATCGTGATGTATAAAATGGAAGTGTGAGGAAGCATTAAATTCAGCTTTGCAACATAATTACCTGCTATCGGCGATAAACAGCGAACATGCGATGATAATAATTTTACAGAACTAGCATGATGAAATAATATTGCACAGCGACAAGTGTAATAACCGTATTAAAAAATTGTTGACATTTTATATCGATAATTATTTTCACTGTTTCCCGCGCATTCTGACTTAATTTTTTAAAAAGCGTTACCTTTGAACCGGTTGCCCAACTTTCACTATCATTATCACCAGTTTTCATTAATATTGTGTCAATCCAACACGTCACTTGATTCAAGTCTAGAGCAAATAAGACATGTTTCTAAAATCGCCTTCGTATTTCATCAAATAGTGTATCGATTGATCTATCATTATCAGAAAAGTACACGTTAGAAATCTATACGAGTCGCCCATCTATATCTCCTTAAATCGCAATTAAACATTACATCTGTTTCTTAGATCTTTCATATCGATTGACACCTGTCAACAACTGATTGAACTAGCTTTAGTGTCACCACTAAGAACAGGTGGGCAAAGTATAAAAACAACAACAATACTATTCCAGCATCACCCCACGCAGCATACATTGTTTACCGTTACGGTCCTTTTATATTGGCTCAGTTGTTGGGAAGCAGGGTCTTTCTCCGTTTGAGACATCTTATCTTCTTCGTTCACTCTTTTGCAACAGTACCTCCTGAGTGATAGTCGATGGAAAGCCAGCGTGGTTAAGGTTTTTCTCGAGAGGAGCACACTAGACTGCGTGCTACGTTCTGAACAGCAACTGATCAATCCCAATAACGACGGACTTTTATCATCCCGGCCGGCCGTTGAGTGGAAACCGCGCGTCAAAGTGGCGTTACGTGTCAACGCTCGACTCAACGAGATCGCCCGAACGACTAGAATAAGGCCCGAACCGTTCTTCGTCATTCTTCGGCACGGTTCGCCACGTGCCGGTCGCCTCACTATCCGTACTGATGAATCTGCGTGTAAGTTGCTCCTTTGCACGGTTTGTCTTTCGTTCTTGTCACAATTGGCGTTAACAAATGGACAAAGCTGGAAAAAGAAGTGAACATTTGCAGAAACAGTTACACTTCGAAAAGAACAAAGGGTATTGTTAGTAATGACTAAAAAATTTCGTTAGTAGTGCATTTTGGATGTGAGGATGGAATTGTACATGGAAAGGTTGAAATAATGTTCTACTGAATTTTTATTTTTTCTACCTTATTCAAAATAATTTATGTTGTATGGTTTTATTAAAGAATGGAAGAAATTGTTACAGTTACACAGGTTAACGTCCACTCTAGTAATGTATAATAATAGATCTTTTTAACGGGTTCTTCGTGAATATATTTTTAGTGAATTAAAGTACAGTTTGAATGAAAATTAAATGTGTTATATGCTAAACAATATAAATTAGTCACAGCATAATTTGCATAATAAAGAAACATATCTTTAAGATAACCTATATAACTTCTCTCTCCTTTTTAATGTTTCTAATAACATTTTTTTAACATTGACAAAAAGTAATATCAAATTTTTTGTATAAATTATCAATGTTGGATTATTATTTTAAAATCTTGGAATGTTTTTCGTAACTTTCTAACTTTATTCGACTGCCTTTGTTTCGGTGAATTTTGAACTTGTGTAATTGGTTGTCTGACTGTTGCATTTCGTTTCCACTTATCGCGAAAATCGGCAATTAAATTTTCATCAGCGTGATGTTCCTTTTAACATAAGAAATTTGTTTGTTTCGGCATAGAAAATGTTTTATTTTTGGAAAAAATATTCACCTCGATAAGTTTCTATTCTAAAATTCTTCGAGTGAAGGTGTATACACACCACTTTTGTTAGAAAAACTATAATTTCTATTATTATTTACCATCAATTGGTGCCATCGTATCGCAGAGTGCTTTTTCTTATACTTTAATCAAAGATTAAATAATTTCTCAGCACAAATAAAACATACATTACGTGTTTATACTTCATTTGACACAAAAAGGTTAGGATTCTTTCGTCGCTGAAATCGTATATTTTTATATCTTTAACGTTTAATATTTTTAGAAAACAAAAGCAGGATTTTTGTCTAAAAACGACGTTTTTCATGTAATGGAACGAATTTGTAGATAATTATGAAATTTTACTACGATGGAGAGGAATTTCGATTTTTTATTTCTACGACGAAGTAAACGGTTAAAAGTTTCCTCGTCGAAGAAAACAGGAGTTTTGCAGTTGCTGCAACAAAGATTGCTTAAAGTTCAATGAAACTAACTAAATGATGTTACGCAACACAGGAGAAAATATCAGTTGCGATAGAAGAAAAAGAGGAAAACTCGGATTCAACGCGTTGGACTATGAAAAGAGCCTAGATTTCTATACTCTTCAGGTATATCAATTTGCATCGTTCACCGCGCAAAAGACTTTGTTATCTTTTTAGTTCAGTTAACTAGTTACTTGACGTCATAAGCAAGCAATAAAATTACTATATTAATACTATATTATAGGGACAATTGTTTAGAGAAGCTCTTACTTTATCGATACTGTTTACCGACGTAGAAATAGTATTGTAAGATTTGTACTGCTTCGATTAGATAAATGTGCAGTTGGTTAGCACAATACTCTATGCATTGGAAATTATAAATTGAAAATGATATGAAATATGCACAGTAAACGTTTACTACAAATTTTACTTAATTGTTTATAAAACCATGGTAAATATTTAGTGACAAAATGTTAGATGAGCTATGAATCTTTTTACTTTTACATTTCTGTAAATTGTCAAAAAAATCCAAAAAATTATATTCATAAATAAATCACTTTATATAATTGTTTCCCATCTTGTGTTTTACCTATTTGAAAATTTAATATTTCCACTTCTTTTTTTAAACAACGCGGAATCCTTCAATTACTTTAAACAACGTATTTAACATAGAGTCACGTGAACACCTTGCAGAACCTATAGGAAACAAAAGAAGCCTTGGCTAAATACTGACCGAAAATCAACGTCCGTGAAGAATACTCGATTTCGAATTACGATAGGTGCAAGACTCCGTCACGAAACAGATAATTTCTTTTTAATAACTTATTAACTTCATAATTTGAATCCATTTGTTGATAACCTACACGTGACCGGCCATGATATTCTTATCAAACGGATATAGGTTGTGTAAATTATTCGAAATATACAACAGAAGGCCTAGCGTAAATTACTTCGAAAACTATTCGAAAAAGTATTTCGAAACATTTAAACTGCTCCATCTTCTTATGGTAAAATGGTTTAAAAGCGAATACCTACAATTAAACGTATATATCTCAAGATAATTTTTAACGAGAATTCAATGATAGTAAGCAAGTTTACTATACACTTAATTAGAAACTTATGTATATTGAACGATATTTGCACAGAACGAATAATTATATACAGAACAGTGTGGGTTCTCATGTAAAGAATAGCGAAACAAGTTTCCACTGAAAAATTCATAAAAATAACGATTCATGATTAAAATAGTTAATAAATCATTTCTCTAAGATAAGACCATATATTTTTAAAAACTAGTCACACCAATGAATATTCAACAGCAATAAATACTAAATATCTCTATTTCACGTGTATCAGACGTGTCCGTATTAGTTCGTGTAACTTGCGGGAAAAAATATATCTTTACAAATTTCCAGGTTACAGGCAGTAATAACAAATTTGAACATTTAATTTTGTAAAGATATTATGATTAGGTCGACGCAACTTTGATATGTCTATTGGCAACATTAGAACATATACCCGCATTATGTTACTTCTCTGACTACGTCGTAGAAACGCAAAAATCGGCAGTCTTCCCGTATCTTCCGAGATGAATAGATCGAACTTTTCTTTCGAAATATATTTTAAGTAAAAGTAAACTACTTCCATTAATTTTTACCTCTCACAATTTTTTAATTCCTTAATACACGTTGGAAATCGTGATGTCTAATAAACACGCAACATTGTTGTTTCAGTCATTTGACTAACTGTCTAAATACCATCTTATTATTTTAGCCTGTTAACTGTGTTTACTTTTCAAGCAGAAAATTATCATCTCTAGTCTATAATAAAAAATGAATAGAAATTATAATTAATTACTTCATTTTGGTTCTTGTAAATGTGAATACGACATATTTTACATTTAATATAAGCATAAAAATACAATTAAAGATGAACAATCTCTCGATAAACTACTGTGTTCTAAGTATTTGTGAAGCAATAACGAATTAACTTTTCTTTCACAGTTAACAGGTTTAGCAACGAGGATAAATTATTTGCTTACTGATATTAATATCAGCGTGGAAAAATACGACCTACCAGAGATGACAGCAATTATTTTGGATTAACGGAATGTACTTTAAGGTGGTATCCATGGCAAACCGCATAATGTGTTAATGCTTTAAGGAAAAACGAGTTCTTCTTTTCGCGTACCTTTCATCTGCAAATATGGATCACTCTAGTTCGTTTTGCACTAAGAAACTGCTTTGCTAACCTAGTCTCGGCTGTCTGTCCGCTATACTCAGACACCAGCAAAACTTTGTAGAAACTATTTATTGCTGCACTTCATGTATGTAAAGTTTCAGGTCGCTGGTCAGAATTTCGGACAGCTACGCAAATACGAGTTGGCAAACCGTAGTCCAACTACGGCCCGTATGAATGAAGTCGTTGCAATTATTTGGAAAACAATCAGCCGTTGTCACTGCAAGTTTGTCCACGTAATTATTCAGAGAAACAGCTCTTATTTGGCATCACTGAAATGTATTATATGTATATGTACATTGTACGAATGACAAGAATTAGTACTTCAAGGATTATACTTGGAAGACGACTCGTATTCAATTTGAATTTAATACCGAAATGGGTATTATAATTTTAGTCACGATGAATTAATTATAATTGGTTAAATTTTAGTTTTTCCCTAAAATTTAGAAAACGAGACATACGTCAGGGGAAAATTATTTTCACGGAAAAAATTATAATTTCGAGTTCAATTAAAAAGTCATCTTCATAAAGTCATCGTGTGTTAAACTTCTAATGTTGATGGGAGAACATTGTGAATGCGAGCAAAGTCGTTAATTCGTGCGTAGTGTATTAAATAGCAAAAAACATCGTGATTCTGCTTACTTTCAAATACTAGAGCAGTGTCTTATCTCTGTCTATAACATTGAAAGTGCACAAAACACAGTCGTGTGTTAAGTTAAAAGTGTTTTAGTTGTTATTACACTTTAAAAGTTTTTTTGAGAAAATTAGAGGTACATATTCCTTTATCAAATACGCCGCGGAAAAACATTGGAAGGACGTTTAAAAATATACAACGAAGTATAATTTCACAACCAATAGTTGAAAAATAGAAAAGGTATACTTGTGGTAAAAGAAAGAACTCGAGATTTTGTTGTTTCGCAACTTTCTTTATTAACGCCATTGCAGCTTCATCTGAGCCAGGTACAATTCCGAGCTCGACACCGAAAGCGAGCTCACACACAATAATGCGCAGCTCTTATTACATCATACACATCCTGAATTCCACCGTTCTTCGCTTATAACATAGGAATTTACAAAAATTTTCGCAAACCCGAATGTCGTGGCAACTTTGTTGAATATCTCAAAAATGCATGTTGGCTGTTCTATTATATTGTGTTCGGGTCGCTACACATCGGTCTAAGACGCGCAAATTTTTTTAAACCATCCCTCACTAGAAATCGTACAAAGAATACAATTAAGTCGTTCCTCGTCTTTGGTAGTAGTATAGGGGGGGAGAGTAATGTTGACGGTAAAACAAAGTTGCAGTGATCGATGAGAGAGATTAGACGTATTATTTTTGGTGTGTATATGTTATGTGTGTATGTGTGTGTGTGTGTGTGTGTGTGTGTACTTGTGTGTCTATGCTATTAGAATCGCATCTATTTCATTCATCGACGAAAACATAAATTACAAATCTACGCAACACGCTATACAAACATCTCAAAACATTATGTACACATAAATTCATTATGACGCTTTTCGAAGATCGTATTAAATCCGAAGAAAAGCTTGGGCGGTTGAACGCGGTGATATCGAAGGAGAGTTGATAGCAGAACATAAAAAATATATTATATTCCATGTATATATATATATTTTTCTTTTACGCGAATAAAATCATTGAAGTCTGGAAAATAATATATTCTCTAACGGAAACAATGTACAATAGATTATGCCTAAATACTGCCCAAATCGATTGCACCTCTCATCCCTGCAAAATGAACATTGTACAAAGGTTGTCATTTAACTTCCATATGGTAATCTTGATCTTATTGCAGCTATAGGTAGCAAATATCAAGTCGGCAGCATTAAAACTCATTGCCCCATATCTTTATCGGTTATCACATTGATTGGCGGAAATGTAATACTATACTCCCAGCGTTCTTCGATCAACACTGACTCCAAGACGTTTCTTTAAAAGCTTCTACGCACGAAAAATTACATTACGTACTTTGTTCAATGATGCACGAAAAAGACATGCATGATCGTCAAGGGAAAAAAGGTTTCGTTATAAATTACATTATTAAGAGCGTAAAAGCGAATTAGTACGCGGTTAAAGTACCTTGAAGGACGTTTTCCGTTTAAGTTAGAAGCTAAGGATTACAAGCATCGAGTTAAGAAATTCTAGTAATGTCTTTTAATTTAAAAGAAAAAATTTCCCCAATAAATATTTCCTATCTAATAAATTAATTTCTCGTCAATGTGAATTAGCAAGAAATCCCAAGAGAGAGGAAGCTTGTTCATTCACGAATTATCCCCAATGATGTACCAAGAATAATCCCTAGTATTCTTATAAGTCGCACGATAATCTCCCTTTTCTCTCGCTGTTACATTATTTATGGAGTCGTTTGCATACATCGCTACAACCGTTATACAAGTATAATTAAATAGATACAGCATTCACTTGACCAGAAGATAAGTCTGACATATCGATGCCTCGACAGCGTATTCACGGGAACCGTTCAGACCTTTGTTTCGTGTGCAGAAGTTCAAGGTGAACCATACACCGGGATCAACATGTTTCCTGAATTTCTAGGCTAGCCATTCATTGGCACTGATAGAGGACATTGCACTTGCCATACGATTAGATGACTCTGTTCTCCTTGTTCTTCAGTGTTCGTTATTGGATGGTCACTATTCGATTGTTCTATACCTTCTTCCGTGTCTTCTGCATCACCTGAAAGAGCAATAATTAGCGAGCAATGAAACGATTTGTTAAATAACGATTTACGATAGGAGTAGATAAGGAGTGCGATTATCAGCTGTTTTTTTTTTATACAGAACGATGCATGTCAGCTGGAAATGCCCGACCCCCAGAGAATGAGGAAAGCAGAACAATTGTACAGAGTACAGTTGCTTAAGAAATGGAGGTGCAGTTTTTTTTTTTTGTATTAATGAAAATTATTGTAAGAACAGTTTGTGCTATACAGAAGCGGAATCGCTTTACACTGACTCTTTTAATCTTCCAATGTAGAGCAAGGAATATAATGAAAATATCTGTACATATACACATGTACACTTCATGTACTTGGTATTTTCATAGACAAACGGGAATAAATTTTGTTTAATGTCAGGTTAGAAATGTATCTAACTACTTGTGGACTTGTTAGTTCAGAATTTCATTAGACCGTGCATAAAACATACTCTTAGTAGTTAGTATAGGTTTTGTTTATCAATAACACAAAAGATTTATTCATTCAATCGTACAAACGGTTGTAAATCAAAGAAAAGAACCATTAACCGCTTTTCATTTTACTCTGGGGGCATACCTGACCAACTGCCATGCAATCAGATGAGTCACCACGTCACTCTCGTCTTCTGCCTCATCTGCTGGAAGTGTTATATTCGCATAAAACAACATTTTGGTAACATTTTTTGATATTTTAACAAAAAACTTTTAAAAGGCAACTAAAATCTATACAGCTATATACAAATTTTCGAAATAAAAAAAATTAGCAGTTAACAGGTTAAACAATGTACATTGTGCAACTATACTAATATACTCATTAACCCCCCCGATTCGATGGCGTTTAAAGCAGTTCTCTCAACGCAGTCGATGCAGTATGTTAAGCAACTTAAGAATTTTACTGCTTTGCTCATAGATAACATTATTTAATAAATAAAATAACAAATGAGATACATGAAAATACATAGATATAATACCCATAAACTGTTTATTCAAAATATATACCATAAATTAATAAGAAATGCAAAAATCTGTACGCCGTAGCGATGTCGGGTCGGAGGGGTTAATCTAATTACTTACCACATCTGAAATCTATGTAACCTTCTCCTCCTGCAAGAACAAGCATCGCCGGTTGAGAACTATCTGACGCCGCGCTTTGGCCACCATGACCTACAATAACAATTGGTAAAATGTATAATTTTTTCCCTCATAACGTTTGGAAGATTTAATCCTAAGTGAACGTACCAGGCACAGCAACGAACATTTTCACCGAATCTCTATGTCCATGGAAGCTAAGTTGAGCATGAGCCATACTGCAGTAAGGTATAAAACTGCCACGGGTAACACCACGGTCAGAGGCGAAAATTCTAACACCCATACCCGGTGCATCACCTTTACTACTTGCTGCTTGAACTCTGGACACAGCCATTGAACCACCAGCACCTATTTTACATATATCTTTTATTCATAAACAAATATTCATTATCATTTCTTGGAGTAGTCGCGATACTAGTACTGTTAACTTACTTTCAGATAAAGGAACTGAAATAATTACTCCATTTCCTGTGCCGATCCACAGCCTATTGGAGGAAATGAGTAACGCGGTAATTCTTACGAAAGAGAAGCCAAGTTTTCCAGTCCCAAGCATTTTACTAACGTAAGGTTCAATGTCGACATCTTGAAGATGTTGATAAGTGTGAGCATGATAGAGCCTTAATGTTGAATCTAATCTAATGCTGACCCATACACCTTCTCCCAACCAAGCTAATTGTCTCACTTGTGACTCTCGACGTGGATGAGCATCTACGGTACACTGCAAGTTTATTTTATATAAGATTGAAAGTAACACTTAAGATTCTAAAAAAAAACATATATTAAAGAAATACAAATATATGTACCTCGACAGCCATTGAGACTGGATCTATTACGTGAATCTTATTTCTATATCCGCACCATACAGTTTTGCCACTAACAGCAGTCATGCACCTGATAGAATATTGTGGACTACCCAAGGTAATCACATGATATTGAGACAGATCCCATTGCCCGTCTGCACCTCTTCTGAATAAAACAACAGTTCCATCGGCTAGAGCAACAAGAACTCGTCCTTGTATGTGTCTGAAAAGAAAGATTTGCGTTGAATATTGAGCACTGATTAAAATAGAACATTGATTACTTTAACATGTAATAAGAGTTACATACACAATAGCCAGTGCAGCATCCTTCAATTTAACAGATTGCAGACAAACTGACCATTTAGCAACAGCTGAATGAATAAACACTGTACCATTTTGTGCTCCAAGCCACATAGTGGGTTGTATCAAAGACATTTTTTCTGTAAGCGTATCTTCTTCAACCTTGTCGCTCTCTTTTTCCTCATTAGCATCATCTTTCTCGTTTAATCGTGAGGCTGGTATCTCTAAATTAGCTCTCATAAAAATTACTTTTCCTAAATTTGCAGTTTCACTATCTACACTCTCCAAACTTTGTGACTCGGTAGTATTCTGATTAGTGTCGTTCGATTTTTCAGCCTTTTCATTATTCTGTTCTTCCGAAGCACCGTCTGACTCATTTTTATTCTTCTCAGTTGAAACTTGATTTTCCTGCTTGTTCTTCTGATTGTTCTGTTCAGTGTTTCCGTTCGTATTCACTTCGTTGCTATCGTTCTCGCTTACTCCGTTGGCAGTTCGAACAGAATCCTCTATTACTTGAGCGTAATCACTCTCTTTGGCTCCAGGTACACTTGCGATGCAAAGTAAATTTCCTTGACCAATGTTAAAGACTTCCAAAATACTGGCTGGATTATTAGCATCTATAACTATTACTTTCGACACCTTCTGTGTCGACGTACAGATCCAAACTAACGAGCTAAGCTGTTGCTCTAACTGTTCCGCCTCTATCCTCTGGTTTTCGTTCTCCTGAAGCTCCTTATCCAAATGTTCAACAGCATCCTCGGCTTCAGTTTTCGAATTGGTACTTACTTCCCGAGCTTCGGCAGCATAAAACACACTTCCACCAACCATACAACCACCATCACGCGTTTTACCACCACTTAGATTTACTCCAGCACCACACCATATCTAAATATAATCGAAAATGAAAGAAATTACAGCAGCGTTCATCCATTTGCGAATAATACATTGATACTTTTGTTACGTATAATTGTACCTTCATGCCAGGTTTCGATCCCTGTAAAGGACTGCAATAGACTGGCACAGGAACGGGGTGTCTAACTGGAGCACTTGGTTTTCCAGGTAAACTCCAGCCGTAAGCCTGCAATCGACCATCCTCTTTTTTAACATGAGCTCGAACTTGGCGATATTGCTCCCTTCGTTCACTCGCACGTCTCGCTACGAGTTTCTCAGAAGTTCTGTAAAAATGTTTCATGTGTAAGTGAATTATTAAATTATTTCTAAAGGACACATGATCAAGATAGAATTTTTAATTATAAAGTTAGTAGATTTACTGAATGTTTTGCTGTTTGTTCAATCATATATTCCTACGAAGACTGTCTTGATCACGGGACACTTTCTTGAATTCGAATGAAGCTTTGATCCGATTGATCTTTCCATCATATTGTGTAACAATGTTCAGGTACGTTATTACTTGCACAACGAGACTTATATATCCACGTATAGAAGCGGAATGTTAGACATAGAGCAGAACAGATTTACCTGCTGGCCAATAAGCACCCCACCGAAAACCAGAAAAACCAGGTATCTCTTGACAACGCCATGAAGGAGAGGCGAGGATGAAACCCGAACGAAAAATTAAAGCGCAGAGCAAGAGAGAAATAAAAGCCAAGTTTATAACATAGTCATTTATTTGTTGTTGATCAATAATGATCATATATTATTTATCTTTTAAAAATGTACAAACTTGTATTTACAAAACTATTGCTTTTCAAGCATGACTTTGTAATAATAACAGACAATTTACTTTGTTAAATTAGTCATTACTGTAGTCAAATATATACCATTAAAGTGGTATATTGATCTACGTATATTATAAGTGTATAAGCAACGTTCCATTTCAGTACAAACGATCATATACAATTTTCTTTATATGAGAAGGAAGAAGTGATGTATTATGTTAATAAGAGTAAGATTGTCAAAAGGGAAAAATTTTGTCTGTGTGTGCAAAGGACCATAATCCTACTTCAGTACGTCATTTTAAGCGCATACAATATTGCGCTTAAAATATACACCTACGAATTTGTTTTCATTAAAAAATGGCAGAATGACAGATAAGAGAGACATCGTAACGACAATGTGTTAAAAACCATCACATTTGCAAATCGCTCAGGCAAGAAATTATTTAGAAATGACTCACATCTCGTAAGAGCGTTCAAGAGTAATTTCAGAGAGTCGCGACAAAAGATTATGGATCCCAACTGACCAAAGAGGCCGCTAATCTGGAAAGATGATGGCGATTCAAAAAAAAAAAAACTCAAAAATCAAAATATCGAAATTCTGTCCTGTAGAGATAAAAACGCCTTGTTTGTCATTGCAATAGCTTTGGTAAAAAAATATTAAAACCGAATTTATGCATAAATTTGGGTAGTAACTGCATGTCTTTCTTTGTAAAAATGTTCGTTGTAGAAACAATCACAGTATCATAAGATTGTAGTTAAAAGAGAATACGATAGTAAAGAAACAAATCTCTATAAAAAGAATAGAGAAAAATTTGGCAGATTTTTAAGTGTCAGATTGACATAATATCTAAGTGCAGTATAGAATTTGATTGATTTCTCACATGGTGTCTCCCTGGTCGAAAAACTCATGGCGACCTTTCAACGTACGTCTACGCATGGTGTCCAGTGGTGGAGCTGGGACAACTTGATTTGTTGGTGCACTGTACCTAATATGAGGTAACGTGTGCGGTCCTCGAACCAAGGCTCCCCGATCCGCTGGTCCTGTGAAGAGGTTACTAAAACTACAAACAAATGGAAAAGAGAACAACAAATTATTATCTGATTCAATATTTCATCTTCTTCTCATATAAGTGATACTAACAACTTCCACACCGAACCTTTTCCCCCTGATATACTGGAAGGATCAGTCTTGCTGGCTCTTATCATTTCTGTCCATCTAACTGCTTCCTGAAGTTCCATGAATCGTTCCTTGTACTGATTTCTCTCCATAAGCACTCTAGCCATCTCGACCCTGGTAAACCTTTTTCTTTGTGATAACGGTACATCTTCTTCATCGTCAAACTTGGCTGCTTTTGCTGCTGCCTCAGCATCTTCTTTAACTTTTTTCAATTCTTCTTCGAGAGTAGTGACCTTTTGCCGTAAACGCTTCCTAGCTTGTTGCAGACCTCGAACTTCTTCGCGTAACATTTCTTGTTCGCTGAAAAAATATATTCACTTATATACAGAGTGTCCTTCGATTTTTTTTTCGATCAAACTTTATCAGTATGTTCTATGGGTGTAAATAAGAAAAAAAGTTACGAATAACTTTACGAATAAATAAGTCACGAATTATAATCGAGTACGAAATTATTTGTAATGTGTCGTTCTACCTTGTTAGTTCATCCACTTTGACAATTAAATCATCTTTAACGATATTGAGTGCATTCCTGGAAAATAGGAATAATACATTACAAAATGTCATAAAATGTACTAATGGACTGTTATAAAATATTAATACAATGCTCACTTTGTCGCCAAAAGTTCATTGTTTTCCATGATAAGGTTCTCCACTTCTTTACCCATTCCTAATAATATATAATTTTCTTTAAGTATATCTAACAAAATATAACTTGTTTTTATTGCTAACATTATAATATCTTACCAAAAAAGTTGTCATTGACTGCATGAAGGGTTATTTATATCATGCGATTATTTAGTCAAGATATGACCACAGCCAGCAGAAATGAGAAGGCAAACAATGAAATAGAAAAAAGTATTAGTTCATACTTTCCTAAATAGTACAATTTAAAAGCATCAGATATAAGTATACATTAGTACATGATACTTATATCTTAATTATATATATATTCGTTATTATCTACAGATTTGTAAATAATGCAGTAGTTTTTACTCTATTAATATTTTCTAATTGCATTTTAATATTAACCCTTAGAGTTCCAATGTATAGACGAACACATAATTTTTGAAACCTAAAAACTGAAATTGACAGGAGTTTGAACATGCAATAGTAATATTAATCAAATATTAATTTTGTCAGCATTAGTAGAGGAAAATAGAACATGCTTGTTTAACACAAAACGAGTATTGTACTATTTGACTCGTCAATGATTATGTTCATCATAATATAAATTGTCTTTTTCTCTGTAAATAAAAATGAATTTGAGAACTCGAAGAATTAATAAGCAAACAATGATATTTATATGCGTGTTTAGTTATTTTACGAGACATACCCGACGAGGCATATTCTCCGGGATGAACCCAACTACCTAAGATTGTAAGGACAAGGTATTACTTAGAAAACTCGCAAACACATCATTATTCACAAAGTTGTTAAGTAATTACCAGTAATATCTGCTCTTTCATCCATTTCACCTAAAGCATCAGCATCTTGAAAACTAAGTTCCTGGTATAATGTATTGCCACTTCGTTGTTCTCTTTCCGTTTTAGTTCTTCCACTTGGAGTAGTAGCTAGTTTTTCTACTGATGGCGATGTTGGTGTAACCAAAGGTAGCGGTACATCAGTTTCTGGACTCTCATCTATAAGTAAAACAGAAAAATAAAATATGAATATGATGTTATTGAAAAGCATTTGCAGATAAAGTAAAGAAGAGTAACATACGTCTCGAAATTGCTGTTGTTTTATTTTCTTGTGCTGGTTTATCCGTTAATTGACTTTTATCAGATGTTTCAATAACAGCTTCAATGCTACTGTCCTGCATTTCAGTCCTTAAATTAGTACCATTTTGTGGACTATCATTTTGAACATCTTCTGCATTCATACTAGTTTCTAAGCTCTGAAAACCATAACTTAATGGTCCAGAACTACGAGACATATGAGCTAGACCAAGGGGTGGCAAACGCGATGGACCACGACCACTATTTGTATTTTCTAATCTTTCTGAACTTCCCACTAACATCTTTGTTCTTTCCATATAATCTACATGCGTTGTAAATAGTTTCGTGTATCTTTCATGCAGACGAGCGTATTCACGTTTCAGTTCGGCCTCTTTTTCTTCAAGACGAACAACTAAACAAACACAAAAATTGATATTCCATATCTGCTATATCAATTCAATTATGATTATACAAAATGACAGAACATACTCTAAGTATTAATAAAGATATACATAACATAAAAGTAAGTCATTCACCATGTTAAATACCCCAATAAATAAAGCACTTATCAATAATACAAATTTTTATAAGTATGCATGCAAATACTCTAGATACCAAATATAATTTACCCAATTGAATTTACTCTATTAGTCAAAGAAATAAACATAAAACAAAAAAAACTTTCTACTCTACTGTAGAGGGATGTTCTGTGAAGGGATGAACTGAGAGAGCCATTAGCATTTGTACCGTGATCATGTGAGTTCTTTGTCTTCAGTTCCAGCATCCTTACAATTGATTCCAAGCTATCAATATTTGATAATAGTTCTTTTCTTTCATCTTCTGCTACATCTTCAAGCTCGAGCAATTTCTAATCAAAAAGCCATCAGGGTTATTTTTATCAAGAAGCATTACGTATTATACTAATTACAATATCAAGATTACAATCTATAATTTACAAAAATCTAAATCATACCTGATCAGATGCTTTCCTTAATTGCTTTTCCCTTTCATATTGTGTAACAAGTTGTTCATTGTCATCCCTTAATAATTCTAATTCAACTTCACGTTCTTGATTTTCAGTATAAGATATGTCTAGACATTCTAGAACATTGACTAGGAGGGGCATTAGGTCTTTGACCACATCTTCATCATACCGAGCTATCATTTTTTCAAATTCCTGATAGATGCTGCCAGCCAGAGATTGTACTTTCTCTGACATGACAACATGACTATCCTCTTGTGTCCCATATACCGTTTCTTGATCCATGTCTAACGAATTCATTTTGTACACCTACAATATAAAAGATTAAAATAAATATTATTCATTCATTTAATTCTATTATTATAATTTGAATTTTTCCTTTATATCCTACTCTACATTTTGTTATTATCAATGTACAGCACTTTATATCAAACTACTTTTTAGGCATTTGGCCAAGTAAAGAGCTAATATTACAAAGTATGACATGTCAGAAAACCCTATTGCACAACAATGGAGAAAAGTAAATATTCATTACTGCGCATTTAAACAGACGGCATTCTTGCAAAGACATTAATAAAGAAATATAGAAACGATCATTACACTCAACTCTTAAGCACTTAGTACTTCAACTTTACTGCGAGAGGTTTTCGGGAATCTTTTAAAGAAGGTTCGAACAGCAAGGCATGGTTAAAAAACATTAATCGCAGACTCTCTACACGACTCGAGATTAATTGTGATTTTATGTTGCACTAATTGCCAAATAGGGCTAAAAAATCCTCGATGAATGTTAGTCGGAGATCCAAATGTCAGACGCATAACTGCACATAACCTTGTACGATACACGGTTCAAAATCAGAATACACTTTTACAACGACAAGATTAAATCAGGTCATCGCGATTTCACAACGAAGAACAGCTGAACCCCGAGGTACATAGTCTTTCGCATTATCACTATTTTTACGAATCGGAGGCTCCCCTGAGAACAAGGTGGAACGTCTTGCCTTGAAGTGGCCCGTTCCGTGTTGTGATCTGTGACGTTTCGCAACCACTGGACCTCCTGGCTCTCCTTTTTTTCTCTCGTTGTTTTTTCACTCGATTGAACACTCGTGTGAAGCGCTCTGCCCGATCATACGAAACGCACCGTGGTGGCGCGGACTAGAGGGAACATTTTTCGTACATTACGTTGTCACGTTTGACATTAGCCAATTTCATTAGTTTCTGTCAACTCTGTTGACGATCGTCTTTACACGCAAACCTTCGCCATTTTTTTTTTCGCTCACTACCGACCAATGCTATACGTACGTATCGTTGACTCCTGACGTGTTCACAAATAAACCTATGAAATCACAAGAGATGGAAACTTATTTTTCCGTTTCTATCGTGCCCGTTAGATGGCCATGCCTTCATTTCGTTTTCACGGAATTCTATTAGATGATATCTAGCACTATAATATTCATTCGTACGATTTCAACTTACGTGGCACATCTCTGGTGAATCATACTTTTAACTGGCACGGTACTTGTTTTTTTCAACTACGAAAATGTATGTTGATAACATGAATTTAATATACACAAGTTGTTTAATACTTTTTAAGGCTTTATTTGTACTATTATTTGTAGGAATAACAAAGTATTTTTAAATTAAAAAGAATGTGCTGACATTTTTAATAAAATAATATCAAAGCAAATGTATGTTACAATATCATGATAGAAGAGAATGTACAGCTGGTGGAGCCGATATAAGGAGGTCGTTAAGCAACGACACATGAACTGATATTCAAAATTTTTGCTTACAATCTTCCATTAAGGCTATACGGTATTATCCGTGGTCTTCTGCTGAATAGTAATTACCGTATTGGCAAAAATTAACACCTGCAGCTGTTAAGGATTAAGGCGCAGACAAAGTTTTTAAATATACTGCGTGTGGAGAAACAATTCCGAGTTAACATCAAACGGCCTTGAACGAGGCTCGAGCTCCTTATCTCCCTCAGACTGCTGTTTTGACACTCGGAATACTTTAGCGCGTGACCGATTCCACGATCTCACTATACTGGTTCCACCAGATACACACAATCATGTGAAACATATCGATTACACATTACAATAAATTTTTGCTAATTTCACATTGAAGATTATTTAAAATTATAATTAATAACGACCACGA